TGATCTGAAATGGTTAAGTAAGGAATGAGCTACACTAGCCCAGTAAAAACATCACACTATCTCACTGCCACAAGAGCAAAGGTTGGTAGAAAACAAAAACGACCAATGAAACATAATTTATAACAAACTCATTTATAAATAATAAAAACATTTACTGTCCACTAACCTTGGTGAGATTCATAAAAATAATTTATGAAACACAATAACATCATAAACATCATAAAATTATGCAGACTCTGTAACATAACACATATCATACTCTCGTTTTTCAATCATCAGACAACAATTTTTATTTCGTTTTCGCACTTAAAACTTTTTAATATATACATTTTATTTTTATTTCCGGGGCCGTTACAGTTAGTATCAGAGCCGCGTTTCTCGGACTCATCCTTTACACAATAATGCTTAGAGAAATACCCACCGATAAATCGTTACTCAACCCTTCCTTGTGAAATGCTGGTGCAGAGAAATGAGGAGAGGAAAACCCCCACTAAACCGAGCAGTCTGGGATGATTTGCTTCGGAAAGATGTGGATAGAATATTTGAGATGCTGGAAAGGATCATCGTTGCCCAGCAAGGTCGAGAGGAGAGAAAGGAGTTACCTGAACCTCCCCCACTACCACAGGTTGAGCCACCACTACAACAAGTGGATCCCGAGCCACCCCGGCACCACCGCCGCAGTATGAACCGGTGCCCCAGCCACCGTACTGCCCGGCACTGCCATAGTACAATCCGGTGCCCCCACTATATCAGCAGGTGCCACCACAGGGCTCCCCAGTCTATCCCCAGCCAGGCTCAGTCCCTCTTCCACGGGACCCAGCTCATTCCTTGATCGACCCAGGCTACATAGAAAGGTACAAGAGACTGAACCCTTCCACTTTTGCAGGAGGATCCTCTTTTGAAGATGTCTAGTACTGGTTGGCGGATACTGAGAGAGCTTTCAAGACCTTGGGAGTGGTTCCTGAACAGAGAGCTGCCCTTGCCTACTACATACTGGTAGGGGAAGCAGGTCGTTGGTGGGAGCTCAAGCAGACCACCCTGCCTACACCAGTCACTTGGGAGCAGTTCTTAACGGTCTTCCATGCAGAGTATCTCGCTGAGCACATTCTACACCTATACGAGATGAAGTTTGTTTAGTTGGGTCCAGAAAAACATGACGGTATCGAAATATGCTCGTAAGTTCCTAGAGTTGGGCCGATACTTCCCAGAGACATTGATGGATAAAGACAGGAAGGCCAGGAGATTCCAGTGGGGCCTCCGCCCAGAGATCAAGCAACACTTATTGGTACTGGAGCTCAAGACATACTCAACCGTTCTAGCAAAGGCGCAGATTGTGGAGAGGAGTTTCAACACTCGTCCTCAGTCAGCAAAGAGTCACCGACCCTCAGCTCCACCCCACAGACCAGCACCTACTGCGCTGGTCCAACCAAATAAGAGGCCCAGACTAGTGGTCCAGGCCCCTCCTCAGGCTCCAGGGGCAGCACGTGGAAAGATCTGCCAGCACTGCGGTAGGGATCACAGGGACCGACCATGATACCGCCTCAACAACACCTGTCGCATATGCGGTAGTGCCCAACACTATGCAAGAGAGTGCCCGAGGAACCAGAATCAAGGTAGACCTCCTATTCAGGGCAGGGTTTACAACCTTACTCAACAGGATGCCGATGCCGACCCGGACGTGGTACAGGGTATGTACACTATCTGTAACCATATTGCTCATGTTTTATTTGACACTGCTGCATTGCATTCATTTGTTTCACATGCATTGCATCAAGGTAGACCTCCTATTCAGGGCAAGGTTTACAACCTTACTCAACAGGATGCCGATGCCGACCCGGACGTGGTACAGGGTATGTACAC